CGCTAATCCCTAAACCCTAGGTCCTAAACCGCCCGAAGTCGTGGGCATACCCTAAAGCCTAAAGCCTAAAGTCTAAAGCCTAAAGCCTAAAGCCTAAAGCCCAAACCCTAAACCCTAAACCCTAAACCCTAAACCCTAAACCCTAAACCCTAAACCCTAAACCCTAAACCCTAAACCCTGAACCCTGAACCCTGAACCCTGAACCCTGAACCCTGAACCCTAAACCCTAAACCCTAAACCCTAAACCCTAAACCCTAACCGTAAGAGGCTTCTGCGTGGATGCGGCAGAGCACCCTCCAATCAGGCCTGCGGCCCTCAGCTTGGCGGTCCTTCAGTCCGAGCCCAGGCCCTAAACCCTAAACTTTAAGCTCTGAACCCTGAGCTAGCAAAAAACCTGAGCCCTTAACCCCTAAACCTCAAGCCCTAAACACAAAACCTTAAAACCCTGAACCCTAGCATCCTCAGAGGTCTGAAGGTTGCTTCTGTCCGGGCTTTGGGTCTGATAGCTTCGGCTTTTGGGGATTATAGTAATAGTACCCCCCCCCCCCCCCCACTATTATAATCCTATTAAGGACTGTTCGTAAAAGGGGGAACATCCCAAGTTTCCTCCTTCGCCGGGAGGACCTGAAAGAGTTGCTGACAGAGGTCCCCGACGAGGCGGGGGGTGCGGGAGCTCTCCTCCAAAAGTCAGGGAAACAAGCACCCAGGGTACCCTGAACCCTGAACCCTAAACCCTAAACCCTAAACCCTAAACCCTAAATCCTAAACCCTAAACCCTAAACCCTAACCCTAAACCCTAAACCCTTAGAGACCTTCCACCCTGAAGCGGGAATCCTTCAGATGCCTGATGGGTCGGTCTCAGGGCATCCAGATCGAGGCCTTCCTCAGGCTCTACGAGAAGGCGGGCGTGTGCTTTGGGGTTTAGGGTTTGGGGTTTAGGGTTTAGGGTTTAGGGGCTCAGGGCTTAGGGCTTAGGTAGGGCTTAGGGCTTAGGGCTTAGGGCTTACGGTTTAGGGCTTGGGGCTTACGGTTTAGGGCTTAGGGCTTAGGGCTTAGGGCTTAGGGCTTAGGGTGTAGCGTGTATCTTCATGCCCGAAGAACCTTAAACACTACAATTTCTCATAACCCTAAACTCTAAGAATCCTCAAGCCTACCAACCCTCAAGGGACCCCCCTAAGCTCTGATAGCCCAAGAACCGAAACCCCAAAGCCTAGAGACGCAAAAGGGCCCCAAAGCCCTAGTAAACTCTAACAGCTCTCGAGTCTAGTAACCCCAACAGCCCTAAACCGCGGAGCCGCCTCACTCCCTCCTGACCCTAAACCCTAAACCCTAAACCCTAAACCCTAAACCCTAAACCCTAAACCCTAAACCCTAAACCCTAAACCCTCTTGAGGCCGCTGAGCGGCCTCTGCTGACCGAAGTTCAGCTCTGTGAGGCGCTCCAGGCCCCACCTTCTTGTGCAGAATAGAGGGGGGCTTAGGGTTTAGGGTTTAGGGTTTAGGGTTTAGGGTGAGGGGTGTAGGGTTTAGGGTTTAGCGGCTTCAGGGTTTAGGGTTGTAGGATTCAGGGGTTTAGAAGTTCAGCGGGTTGAGGATTCACGGGGTTAGGGGTTTCGGGTTCAGGGATCAGAGTTTGGGGGGCTCGGTTCGGGGTCGTAGGGTTTGGGGGCTTCTGGTGCTCAGTGCTCTCTTTGTTAGTGTGTTCTAAAAGGCAAGAAGCATACAAACTTAGGGCTTATCATCTGGGAACCCCAAACCCAAAACCCAATTTCTACGGTTTTGAGGCTAGTCGAGGCCTTGGGGGCTTTGTGGTTTGAGAGTTTTTGAGGCTCCCAAGGCATTTCAACCTTGGGGTCGTCGGCTTCATGGGCCAAATGTCTAGGGTTAAGGGTTAAGGGTTTTGGGTTTACTTGGAGATCCAGGGCACTTCTTAACCCAATGATAGCTGTAGTTATCACCCAATTATTGCCACATTGGGGGGCCTTAAGGGGCTTATAAGTGGGTTCTAGGTGCAGTGATAATTGGTGAATAAGTACCATGAACCTCCTAAACCCTAAACCCTAAACCCTAAACCCTTAACCCTTAAACCCTAAACCGTAGCCTCGATGTGGGATGCTGCAGCTCCGAGTCTCTTCCAGCCCAGGAAGCTCCAGAAACCCCCTGAACTCTGAACCCTTCCCTTTTCTGAACCCTGAAATTTGGGTATGCCTAAAGGGTTTAGGATTTAGGGTTTAGGGTTTTAGGGTTTAGGGTTGCCCTAAACCCTAAACCCAAAGAGTTACCCTACCGCCGCTGGGGTGAGATGAGCCCTGACAACCTTAGGGCTTCGGGTTTAGGGTTTAGGTGTCCGAAGACACTCAGGGCCCTAGATTCTGCAGCCCTGCAGCCCTAAGACTGACCCTTAAGCTCCACATCCCTACAGACTTTCCCAGTTTCATCAAGCTCCAAATGGGGGCTTCCGAAGTTGGGCTACCTTATTCGGGTCCTTGTGAAGTTGTGAAGGGAACCCTTCTATTTTGGGACCTGTATTCGGGGTTCCTTATTTTCGTAAATCCGCAAAAATTCCTAAAGACCTTAGTCTCGAAGGCACAAAAACTCTGAAGTCCCTGAAGCCCCGCTCCCTAAACCCCAAACCCCAAACCCTGAACCCTAAATCCTAAATCCTAAACCCTAAACCCTAAACCCTAAACCCTAAAGCCTAAACCCTAAACCCTAAACCCTAAACCCTAAACCCTAAACCCTAAACCCTAAACCCTAAACCCTAAACCCTAAACCCTAAACCCTTGCTTGACGCAGGCGCTCGATCTCACGCGGAGGGGTACCCTGGATCCCAAGGGCCTCAAGGACATCATGCACTCCTTCGGTGACAGGCGGGGTTCGGGGTTTAGGGTTTAGGGTTTAGGGTTTGGGGTTTGGGGTTTGGGGTTTGGGGTTTGGGGCTTAGGGTTTAGGGTTTAGGGTTCACGGTTAAGAGACTTGAGATTGAAGGTTTCGAGGCATTGAGGGCTCTAGGGCTTCAGGGTTCGGCTTGGCATCTAAACGGGCAGCGCACGCTGAGCACCCTACACCCTACACCCCAACAACTCCAACGCAAGTTTCACGTGGAGGCGGGTGCCCCAAGGTCTAAACCTGGGTGGTGCCAATGGAAAGTGGTCGAAAACGGACCCAAACCCTATCTAGACCCTAAACCTTAAACCTAAACCCCAAACCCGAACCCCTCCCTACTTTGAGGCCCTTTGACTTAGTAAGTCTACCTAGTACCCCCGAGAAACCCTCTAAGAACCCCCAGAACTCGACGTACGAACCCTACTTACTAAGTCAAAAAGGGCATCCGAGTATCCGTAAACCGTAAACCCTAAACCCTAAACCCTAAACCCTAAACCCTAAACCCTAAACCCTAAACCCAAAACCCTAAACCCTAAACCCTAAACCACAAACCCTAAACCCTAAACCCTAAACCCTAAACCCTAATTAAACCCTAAACCCTAAACCCTAAACCCTAAACATTACGCCCAGAAGCCCCAGACCGAGGCTGACGCCCTCGGAGGTGGACCAGATCCTGGAGGGGCTACCACGGGATGGGCTCGCGGCTGAGGAGGGTTTAGGGTTTAGGGTTAGGGTTTAGGGTTTAGGGTGTAGGGTTTAGGGTTTAGGGTTTAGGGTTTAGGGCTGGTGGCTGAGGGTTCAGTACCTCCAGTCCAGGCATTCACTAGTCGAGTTTTTGTGCCGGGCACCCACCCAGAGAATCCCATGACACTAAGAGAATATGCAGTTCACTCAATCCATCATTTTTAGGCTCCATACCCTGGGGACCTAAACCCCAAGCTAGGGGAGCGGGCAAGGCCATAGAACGAGCTGCAATGTCATATAAAGACCGGGCAAGGTCATATAACCCGCGGGCAAGGTCATGTGAAGTTTTGGCAAGGTCGCATAAAGAGCGGGCAAGGTCGTGTAAGGCGAGGTAATTTGAAGATCGGGCAAGGTCATAGAAAGAGCGCGCTAGGTCATACAAAGAGCTGGCAAGGTCATATAACGAGCGGGCAAGGCATGTGTCCTTGCCTACTCTTTATATGAGCTCTTTCTATATGGCCTTGCCGCGCCCACTCTTCATATGACCTTTCCTGCTCTTCATATGACCTTGCCCACTGTTTATATGTCCTTGCCCGCTGGTGAACTGCGTTTACGTCCCTCCGTCCTCCCCCCCTCCTTTTGCCTGGTTGGTTTCTGGCGTGACATAGCATTTCTGAAATATGCATGCTTTGGTAATGTCACACTACTGTTTCGATGTCAGGATTTTGGGCTGTCATTGCTGAATGTTTTCTTTGGGGCAGGTATGTCTGTTCCAGAAACGGAAAACACCCTTGAGCAGTCAGAGAAGCATACCGCTGTTTTGGGCATGTTCGCTGAAGGCATAAACGCGTGTGACCACGCCAGACACGGCAAACATCCTTGCGCAGTATGTGGTGCTGTAAATGGGCTTTCACTGGTGGTTTGGTTTGGGGCAGTTATTGAGTCTTGTTCCAGAAGCGTCAAGCATCCCTGAGTAGTTTGTAGGGCAGTAAATGCCAACGTTTTGGGCAAGGTCGTCACATGAATGAACATCATTACCCCCTCACCGAGCCTCGTCTGTAGTTGCCAGGATCAAAGCAGGGACGCGTGACACCAATCGAATTTCGGTCTAAGGTGCCCGGAACAGAGCGAAAATGGCTCTGTGCCAGCGCTGCATCTGCCGTTATTGCCATCGCAACGTTGGTGTGTTTTTTTCTTCGCGGCCTGGGCGTCGCACTGAGGCGCCACGAGCGGACATGCGAGGCCGCGAGGCACTTTGTTAATCACGAAGCAGCAGATCGAGCAGAGGAGAAGGCCGATGCGACATTGGTGGAACCCAATGTGGCGCCATCTCGCGCGGATGTCGTGAGGCAGCCGGATCGGCCAGACAACCTGGACACATGTGGACCGCCCTCCCAGCCCTCGCGGCCTGCCCATAAAGTCTATCTGTATATGTATGATATTTTCGGCGGGCGGAGCATTGGGCGCATCTTCCTCGGCAAGAAATTCCAGGCCGTGTGGCACACAAGCATCGTAGTAGAATGGCCAAATACCTGCTGTGAAATCTGGTATGACAACCGGATCTATGTCTCGCCTCCGGAGCAAACTCCATTTCGTACCCCGGACGAGAAGCGACTGTTGGGGACCACCCCAATGCCTCACGTTACCATGATTGCGTACCTTGAAAGTGTCGACGACGAGTGGACCGGCCACTATGACCTGGCACGGCGCAACTGTGTGCATTTCAGCGACTGGGTGGCGCGGAGGCTGCACCTGCCAGCGTTGCCAGATGACCTCGTAGGGCAAGCTGCAGAAGTACTGCAGACCCCCGTGGCACGCCTCGTCCTTGCTACCCTGCACATGGTAGAGCAGCTGCGAGGTGACCGAGCGCGGCTGTGATGTCAAACCTTTCTGGCCAAGACGTGTTCTCTGGCTATGTTCAATGGATTCAAGCGAGAGCAAAAGCTCAGTGACAAAATGTGGCGCTTGGCCTGCCCGGATCCGAGAGACCAAAGAAGTCTCGCGATTCCCAGAAGGGAAGCTACAGCAACCAACATGTTGCCAACAGCCCCAGGAGCCACAGTTTCACCCCTGAGGATGAACTGCGTCGTCAACTGCCACCTAAAGTAGGAGGACCAGCACTCACGAAAATTTCCCCTTAAATCCTTAAACCTTAAACCCGAAACCCTTAACTAACCTTTACCCTTACACCCATGTCGAAGTCTTCTGTTGTTTCGGGGTGCAGAAGAGTAGAGACCCTAAACCTAAAATCCTAAACCCTTAAAAGCGAAAGCCCGAATACCTTCACTCCGAAACCCCCAAACCCCCACACCTTCACTGCATGATACCGCAGCACCCAAGAGCTCCATGCCCCAGTATCACGACTACTGTCTGCTTGAGCAATCCCCTGAAACATAAACAAATTCTTCCCTTCAAGGGTAACCCTCCCCCCCTCCCTTCCCCCCCTCACTTCCCCTGCTCCCCCCGCTGCCCCTCCCCCATGCCGATCCCCAGACCCAGGATCAAGTCTGAGCTCCAGGCCCGACTCCGAAGCACCCTCCCCCCCCACCCCCTCACCGAGGTTGGGCCGAGTCAGCTGCAAGCTCATCGCCCGCAAGCTTATCAAGGCCGGGGCATCTTCGAGGCCTTCGGGAAAAGCTCCCAGACGAGGATCTTCACAGGGCATGTTGCCGGGCAGGGGCTTCCGGCGAAGCCCTCAGCCCGAGACCCAAAACCCAACAGCCCGACCTGATAGGATCAACGAGGTTTTTCGGGGTTTCGCCTTTTCAGGGGGTGCTCGAAGTAGTGAATGAGGCCAGTTCCTTCCGACATTCGACTCGGCTTCAGAGGGATCCGTGCTGAATGCAGGCTTGGGGTTGATTTTTGTTTCAAGAGTTTTTTTTAAACCCTAAACCCTAAACCCTAAACCCTAAACCCTAAACCCTAAACCCTAAACCCTAAACCCTAAACCCTAAACCCTAAACCCCTAACCCTCATAACCAGTTAGGCTCATGGCACCTGATTCACAGCGGCAGGGGCCGGACGACATCCCGCACCTCTAACATGGGCTGGCATATCTAGGGTTAGGGTTTAGGGTTTAGGGTCTAGGGTTTAGGGTCTAGGGTTTAGGGTTTAGGATCTAGGGTTTAGGGTTTAGGGGTTGGTGGGAGTCTAGGCACAGGATGAATCCACATGTGCAGGGCATAATTGCAGGGCATTGCGGCCCAGCAGAAGGTTTCACTGCTATAGGTTTCACCGCGACTTGTGCGCCCCGCGGTCCCTGCCCGAGGCAGGGGCTACGGTGTGTCGTTGTAAGTCGATGCGAAAGTTTGCGCGCGTTTCCGTGCTGCAGTCGTTTGGGCAGTTCTCTGAATCATGTTCCTTGTTTCGGGCACCCTGCCACGAAACCCTAAACCCTGAACCCTAAACCTTAAACCCTAAACCCCGAAATCACAACTTAGCGAGCTCCTCAGTGCCGTGCATGCAGCGCTATACAAGTTGGTCCGTCGCTCGTGCCGTCCGGGCCGCTCTCCAAAATGACGGGCAGAAGATCCCCTGTCCCTAAGCCCCCCAAACCCTAACCTCAAAGAAAGGCCAAGCCTTCCGCATACTTCAGGTCCATTTTAGGCGCAGAGGTTGCTCCAGACCCTCAACCCGAAGCCGCCCCTAAAGACCTCAAGCCAAAGCTCCCTTAGGGACTCCCTGAGCCCCTCAACTCCTCAGCCCTAGAGAAAGCACATACGTTTAGGAAACCCGAAGCCCTAAACCCTAAACCCTAAACCCTTGAAAGCCCCCACGAAAGCACGAAGGAGCCCTAGTCAACCATGAGTCTTAAGACGCCCTCTGCCCTTGCTTGTTGCTTCGCTTCCGACACTCCGCCCAAGCGTGCTGAAGGCAGCTCGGGCTTGCGGGTTTGGGTTTTAGATTGGGTGCGTTTCGGGGGTGGGTTGAGAAAGTCTAGGCATGAAGTTTCGATTTTCTTGGGATTTGGGGTTCCAAGGCACAACCCACACCCCCTCCCCCCATCGCTTTCCAAACACCCTCGAACCCCGCCCGCACAGCCACATTCCAGAAGCCCCTTAAGCGTAAAGTCTTTTTGGAAACTCTTCTCAGCCCAACCACCCCGTCCAACGGACCCAAAGACACCACAGAAGAGAATCCCAAAACTCCGTAAAACCCTCCGACATCTCTAGACCTCTAGACCTCTTCCTCAAATCCTACTTGGAGGTTCATGGTAACTATGAATGTACTAAGAACTGTACATGAAACCCAATTATAACCATATTGCGGCACTTAAGGGGCTCATATGTGGGTTCTACGTACAGTTTTAAGTGGCCCTAAACCCTAAACCCTAAACCCTAAACCCTAAACCCTAAACCCTAAACCCTAAACCCTAAACCCCAAACCCCAAACCCTAAACCCTAAACCCTAAACCCCAAACCCCAAACCCTAAACCCTAAACCCTAAACCCTAAACAGGTACCATGAAGCCGAGCAACGCGCAGGTGCTTGATGGCGCAGATGGCACTTGTTCCGGTGGGGGATGGCGAACTCGTGGAGCAGCAGCCGGGTCCTTCAGACGATGGGTTAGGTTTTGCAGGTTTTGAGGTTTCAGGGGCAGAAGAAGCCCCAAACCCCAGACCCCCAAACCCCTAAACCCTCAACCCTAAACCCTAAACCCGAAACCCGAAACCCTAAACCCTAAACCCTAAACCCTAAACCCTAAACCCTAAACCCTAAACCCTAAACCGTGGTTCTAAGGGGTCTTGCTTGGGAATCGAGGGTTTGTACTTCGGCTTCTTAGGGTTTAAAGGGCTTACTTGGAGGTTCAGGGTGCTCATTAACCGACTATGACTGTACTTACAACCCACTTACAAGCCCCTTAAGTGCCCTATTGTGGTTTTAATTGGGTTATAAGTACAGTTAGTATTGGGTTGATAAGTACCCCCTAAACCCTAAACCCTAAACCCTAAACCCTGGTTGTAGGCTCTTAGTGGCGGCGGATTCGCATTGGTGGAGTGAGGGCTTTTTGGGCTAAGGGTCTCAGGTGTGGCGTTCGGGTTTAGGGTTTAGGGTTTAGGGTTTAGGGTTTAGGGTTTAGGGTTTAGGGTTTAGGGTTTGGGCTTACGGTGCCGCAAGCCCAAATAGTTTATGCCTGAGCGTTTTAGGTAGCTGATGGCTGCGTTGTGCTGTCTGAGGATTCCAGAGCCAGTCGCAGACCAGAACTTCAACAGGCTCGGTTTTGAAGGGTTTAGGGTTTAGGGTTTAGGGTTTAATAGGGTTTAGGGCCAAGCTTGCCTGAGAGCTCATTCAGGACATGGGGGATTCTCTAAATGACGGGCCCTTTGTTAGCCTAAGCGTAAGGCTCCATATTCGAATCGGAACCTGAAAGGGGCCGGAAACGCGAAGCCCTAAACCCTAGGGTTGAGGGTTTAGGGGTTTAGGGGTTATTGTTTAGGGTTTAGGGTTTAGGGTTTAGGGTTTAGAGTTGAGGATAACTTCGGGAGCCGCCTCCCCCCCCCCCCCCCCCCACATGAATATCTCTGGGTTCCATCGGGTGGCATTTGAGGGAGACCGTTGCGGCTCAGCGGCTCCCCTCAACACCCAAAACCCTGGGTTTAAGGCTCCTGGATTTAGGGTCGGTCATCGGGGATTCATAGGGTTTAGGGTCTAGGGTTTAGGCTTTAAGGTTTGTTAGGAGTTAGGCTTTAGGGTTTAGGGTTTAGGCTTTGGGGTTTAGGGGTTAGGGTTTAGGGTTTAGGGGCTCATAAGGTTTAGAATGGGATTTCCCATGCTTGAGGCTACCCACCAGCCTTTGCAGGAAGAAGATGTTCGAGCTGCAGCAGGAGCTGTCGACGCTGCAGAAGCGCTCCCTGAAACAGCATGAGGCCAGATTACAGGGGCTAAAGGAGGGACCTTAATGGGGACACATATAGGGGTTATGTAGGGGTTATATAGGGTTATATAGGGGTTATATAGGGGAATCAGATTGAGGGTCCCTCCTTATGCCCTTTTACAGATGTGCCAGACAGATCCCAGAGAACCCAATGCCCCGAAGCTAAGGAATACCTGGGACGCTATTTGCCGACAGTTTAGTAGTAACTCTCCCTTAGTTCGTAGGTATAAGCCATAAAACTGTAGGTAGAGAGTCCCAGCTGTAACTTACACTACACAGGGATCCATGTTCCTTTATTAATCCGAGCTCCTGTTTAATTGGGGGCCCCCCCCCCTCCCCCCCACAATAAGGAATGCGGGGTTCCGCAATAGTTGGACCATGGCCCTGTATTGATTCTCTATTAAAAACAATAGGCTGCAGATCCCTGAGGTGCTGTAGCCTCGCATCTCCGCAAGCAAAACAAGAAGCCTGCCGACAGATTTTTAAATGTGGGGGGGTATCCCCATACGAAATCCACCCTAATGGAAAGTAGTCTTCCGGCGGGCTTCTGGCCGAAAAAAATTCTTTAAATGTGGGGGGTTTGATTAAACAGGTGCTGGGATTAAGGGGGTATTCTCTCTGGTCTCTGCTACAAGGATTCGGGGCGCAGGTGCGCATGCTCTGCGATCCTTCCCCGAGCCACGTCTTCAGGCCGTCATCCACCTGGAGACAGGCCTCAAATCCATGATTTCGGAGGCCTGGCGGAGGAACCCGACCTTTCCCAAATTCGGGGTCCCTGATTGCACCGCCAATTATGCCATTTCTGCCCCCAAGCCCAAAACCTTAAACCCCATACCGAAAAGCCAAAACCCCAATCCCAGAACCCTAAATCCTGAAGCCTGAAGCCCAACCCCGAACCCAAAACCCTAAACCCTAAACCACCAGGTGGACCTGCGCCGGGCCCTGGGGCTGGCCTTCCAGGAGTTCGAGAACCGCATTGAGGCTCCAGCGGTTCCTTTCTTTGCGTTTTAGGGTTTAGGGTTTAGGGTTTAGGGTTTAGGGTTTAGGGTTTAGGGTTTAGGGTTTAGGGCTAAGGGCTTAAAGCTGAACCTGCCGTTGTTAGGGATCCTTTTGAGAGAGATCTTGAGGGGAAGGGGTTATAGTCGGAGCCGCTCAGTGCTTGGGGTGGGCGTATTTGGAGGTGTTTAGGGGGTTGCGGTTCATTTTGGGATGAAAAGTTTGAAGCTCATGTGTAAATTAAACCCTAAACCCTAAGCCTAAACCCTAAACCTTAAGCCCTAAACCCTAAACCCTAAACCCTAAACCTTGCTGGACAGTAGGTGTTTGTGAGCTTCTGCCCCCCAAAAATGGCTTTCTCGGACAGGATGCCTTCCAGGACTCCAACAGAAAGTGCTTAGGGATGCCACTTTGGTCGCACTCCCGCGAGTTTGAGGTATCCCTAATCCCTAAACCCTAAACCCCAGACCCCTAAACCCTAAACCCTAAACCCTAAACCCTAAACCCTAAACCCTGCACCCTAAACCGTATAAACCCTGAACCCTAAACTCTAAACCCCGCGAGTTTGTGGTCTTCGGCACCCGAGCCAACTCCTTCCGGGGTCTAGGTTCGGGTGTAGGACCTGGTTTAGGGTTGAGGGTTTTAGGGCTTAGGGTGTAAACATCAGCCCCAGCCTAACTTCCTAGACCCAAAACACCCCAAGCGCCCCAAGCCCTACAAACCTGAAACCCCGAAAGCCCAAGTCCCTGAAAACCTACAACCCCAGACCCTAAACCCGTATATGAACCCCCAAAACCCCAAGCCCTCAATCTATAATCCCATCAGATGCCCAAAGTTTTTTCAGAGGGGCTTAATAAGGGGTGTCTTTTTTGAGGACTTGGGGGGTGGGGGGGGCGGGGAAGCCCTTAACTTCAACCCCCAACCCTAGACCCTCAAACCCTAGACCCTCAAACCCCCAACGCTAAGTCCCAAACCCCAAGCTCTAGACCCTACAGTAAACCCAAAACCCTATACCCTAAACCCTGAACCCTAAACCCTATACCACCAAACTTCCGTAACAGCTTGCGACCCGGGTGCCTGAGGTTCTCAAAGCGAGAGGAAGTGACAGAGCTCCAGGCGAGGGTTTGGGGTTTAGGGTTTGGGCCTTTGGGCCTTTGGGCCTTTGGGCCTTTGGGCCTTTGGGCCTTTGGGCCTTTGGGCCTTTGGGCCTTTGGGCCTTTGGGCCTTTGGGCCTTTGGGCCTTTGGGCCTTTGGGCCTTTGGGCCTTTGGGCCTTTGGGCCTTTGGGCCTTTGGGCCTTTGGGCCTTTGGGCCTTTGGGCCTTTGGGCCTTTGGCCTTTGGGCCTTTGGGCCTTTGGGCCTTTGGCCTTTGGGCCTTTGGGCCTTTGGCCTTTGGGCCTTTGGGCCTTGGGCCTTTGGGCCTTTGGGCCTTGGGCCTTTGGGGCCTTTGGGCCTTTGGCCTTTGGCCTTTGGGCCTTTGGGCCTTTGGGCCTTTGGGCCTTTGGGCCTTTGGGCCTTTGGGCCTTTGGGGGCCCCTTTGGGCCTTTGGGCCTTTGGGGGCCTTTGGGCCTTTGGGCCCTTTGGCCTTTGGGCCTTTGGGCCTTTGGGCCTTTGGGCCTTTGGGCCTTTGGGGGCTTTGGGCCTTTGGGCCTTGGGCCTTTGGGCCTTTGGCCTTTGGGCCTTTGGGCCTTTGGGCCTTTGGGCCTTTGGGCCTTTGGGCCTTTGGGCCTTTGGGCCTTTGGGCCTTTGGGCCTTTGGGCCTTTGGGCCTTTGGGCCTTTGGGCCTTTGGGCCTTTGGGCCTTTGGGCCTTTGGGCCTTTGGGCCTTTGGGCCTTTGGGTTTAGGGTTTAGGGTTTAGGGTTTAGGGTTTAGGGTTTAGGGTTTAGGGTTTAGGTAGAAGTTAATAAGGTATAAGATCAAAAAGCACAAAGCCCTAAAGCCTCCAGGCAGCGATAACGAAGAAAGTGAACTGGGCCGAGTACAATGCTGTGCTGAAGAAGCTCTCGGACCTCAGACAGTGCTCCGCATGCGAGACTCCACCGTGATTTTGCCGGAAAGCTAGGTGTAGGGGTTTAGCGGTTTAGGGGTTTAGGGGTTTAGGGGTTTAGGGTTTTAGGGGTTTAGGGGTTTAGGGGTTTAGGGTTCAGGGTTCAGGGTTTAGGGTTTGGGGTTCAGGGTTTAGGGCTTAGGAGAGTCTTACGAGAGGGCTTGCATCGTAAGCTTGATAAGCTCTGTTTTTGAGTTCCGGCCAAGGCTTGTAGTGATTAATTTCATTACTGGTTGCGCAGGTGGCTTTAGCAAGTGCGGGTTCTGTCTATAAGGAGCCTCCGATGCCCCAAACCCTAAACCCTAAACCCTAAACCCCCTATAACCCTATAACCCTATAACCCTATAACCCTATAACCCTATAACCCTATAACCCTATAACCCTATAAACCCTAACCCTAAACCCAGCTCGGTCCAGAGATGTCGGAAGCGTCCGCACACATTCTGTGTAGGTACGTGGATGGCATGGCTGAGTCGGTCTTCATCGGCCAGCGCGAAGCCTTGGAGTCCGAGTTCGCGAAGAAGGCCCAAGGGGGTGCTTCGGCGTACCAAGGGGCGGAAAGGGATTCTGGGAGGTTTGGACCCTAGACCCTAAAGCCTAAATCCCTAATCCCTAAACCCTAAACCTCAAACCCTAAACCCTCAACCCTCAACCCTCAGCCCTAAACCCTAAACCCTAAACCCTAAACCCTAAACCCTAAACCCTAAACCCTAAACCCTAAACCCTAAACCCTAAACCCTAAACCCTAAACCCTTGTCAAAAGCCCCCGGGTCCCTCTTGAGTCTCCTCTGCTCAAAGAGAGGCCAACGCCGATTGGGTGGAGAAGTCGATGGGAGAGAAGGCGCACCGCGCTTGACCGGCTGTAGGGTTTAGGGTTTCGGGTTATACGGTTTAGGGTTTAGGGTTTAGGGTCCGGGGTTTAGGGTTTCGGGTTAAGGGTTAAGGGGTTCGGGTCCAGGGTTTAGGGTCTAGGGTTTAGGGCTTGGGTCTAGGGTCCACGGTTTAGGGTTTAGGGTTTAGGGTTTGCTGATGGTGCAACCCTGAAAACCCTTAAAAACCTAAATGCCCGAACGAACCCTCGAAACCCTAGAAACCCTTCAAAAGCCTGATAAGCCCTACAATACCCTAGCGCTGAACAAAAAACCTACAACACCCTAAGGCCTTTAAGAAGCCCTATGACACCCCAAGGCCCTGAAGAAAGCCCTATTAAGCCCTACTGTTCGCCAGCGGGAGGCTGACTTTGCAGACCTGAACGATGTCCGAGCCCGCCTGGAAAGGTGAACTGGGGGGTGGCCCGGGATGAGATGGGGGTTGAGGGTTTAGGGTTTGGGGTTCAGGGTTTAGGGTTTAGGGTTGGTTTAGGGTTACTTGGAGGTTCATGGTACTTCTTAACCAATGACAACTGTACATATATAACCCACTTAGAAGCCCCTTACGTGCCCTGACATGGTCTTGATTGGGTTAGAAGTACAGTTATAATTTGGTTGATAAGTACCATGAACCTCCAAGTGGGATGAACCTCCAAGTGGGGTCTTAGGGCCTTGTCTAAGGTTGGAATCATGGGCCCTTAGTATGGGTTCCTCCCCTTTGTTATAGGGATCCGGAGTATGGGCCCTCACTATAATATACAGGAGTATGGGCCCTCACTATAATATACAGTGAATGTAGTTTATGTAAGGAACTGTAGTGTATATAAGGGTTATCTCGCAAGGGACCCGAAGTAAGGGCGCATGCTGCATACTTGGAACCCCCTGACTTTGAGTGGGTCATGTTTGGGCTAGGGCCCCCACACCCCCAAAGCCTGTCAGGCTCGAAGTTCTGGTCTCGCACAATGACCAGAAGCATACCGCCAAGCTGCAGGCACGTGGCGAGTGCAGTAGCACCGCAGGATAAGGACCGCCCTAAACCCCAAACCCTAAACCCTATACCCTAAACCCTAAACCCTAAACCCTAAACGCCCCGGCCCTACAGTAAACATCCAAAAGCCCCAAAGCGATGGACACCATGGCTTTGGGGTGTAGGCTTTGGTCGTTTAGGTTCAGGGTTTAGTCCACGAACAACTTGATGTCGACTCAGTTCGCATGTGCGTGCCTGCCCCCGCGATGCAGGCGATGCGAGAGGAATCTGCTTCCCAGAACAATGACATGTTTCAGCGCCAATCCGTGACCCTGGCAGCTTCGGGTTTGAGTTTCTGCAAGCCTTAGATCCCTATCACCCTAAGCCCGAAATCCTTGTTGCCAGGTGTTGATGAAAGAGGCCAACAGCACAATGACCTCCAGCAAACAGCAGTTTCAGGCCGGGTGCCTGCGCGCAAGTCACATCTCCCTCATCGGTTTAGGGTTTAGGGTTTAGGGCTTGGAGAAGAGCTTGCACCCAACGGCGTAAGCCCTCCACCCTAGGGTGTAGGCTGTAGGGTTAGGGTCTTGGGCTTGGGGCTGAGGGGTTCGACTCCAAAGCTCTACACAGGACATGAAGAACATGATCGAACGCCTACGCCTCAGATCAAGAGCTTGCTCCCGGCACGCGCGCTACAAAGCCTAAACCCACAAAACCTCCTGAACCGCCACCCCTCTCCCCACGAAAGAACTAAACCCCTCAACCCCCTAAATCCTAAACCCCAATAAACCCTAAACCCCTTAAACCCGTTAAACCCTAGCCCCTGAATCCAAACTCCTTAACCCCTGAACCCCTAAAACCTTCGAAACCCTAAACCCTAAACCCTACACCCTACACCCTAAACCCTAAACCCTAAACCCTAAACCTTAAACCCTAAACCCGAAGCCAAGGCCACGAGTCCCGCCTGAAGAGCGTGGACTCGTCCGTTGGAGAGCTCAGCAAGGCTGGGCGCACTGGCCGCCGGCAAGGTTTAGGGTTTAGGGTTGGGGGTTTGGGGTTTGGGGTTGGGGGTTTGGGGTTTGGGGTTTGGGGTTTGGGGTTTGGGGGTTGGGGGTTGGGGTTTGGGGTTATTAGGGGTATTAGGGTGATTAGGGTCATTAGGGTTATTGGGGTTATCAGGGTTGCTAGGGTTATTAGGGTTTTTTTGGGTTATTAGCGGTTGGGGCTTGGGGTTCGGGGTTTAGGGGATTCGGGTTTGGTGTCTAGGGTTTGGGGTTTCAGGGTTTAGGGTGATTTTTGGATTGGGTTTGGGATCTGGGGCTTAGGGTTTGGGCTTTTGGGGTTTGGGGTTTGGGGTCTAAGTAGGGATTGAGGTTTGGAGGTGTTTTGGGCCTTACAGCACTTTTCACAACACCAAACCCTGGAAAACAAAAACGACTCTCCTTTAGCCTGTGATTGAAATCTAACGTGTAGGGTTCAGAGATTCATGGTTAGTTCATGGTAAGGTTATAAAGTTTCGGGCTTTGGGGTTTAAGGGCGGTCTTAGGGTGTCAGAGCCTTGCGGTTTTGAAGTGTCAGGACTTTAGGACGACGTCAGTTGTTGAAGATGTTGGGGTTTTAGGGTTTGGCACCTGTGCTGTTTGCGGCAGAGGGCTTAGGGGGCTTGAGGTTGTAGGAGTTTAGCTAGAACCAGCATCCCGGAGTAAGAAGCCTTTGCAAATACTATCGGGGAAACTCTTCCCACAGAAAGCCCCTACACCCCTCAACTCCGTGGCCTAAACCCTAAATCCTAAACCCTAAAACCCTAAACCCTAAACCCTAAACCCTAACCCTAAACCCTAAACTCTAAACCCTAAACCCGAAGACACAGACATCCGTAGCCCCGACCCCTAAACCCTGAAGACTTCAGCCCTAAACCCCCTCAAGCCTACACTCTTGCCCCTGCACCCCCACACACCAGACCGCCCCAGACCCAAAATGCCTTTATAGCCTTAAAAAGCCCCAAAATGCCCTAAAAGGCGAAGAAGCCCCAAACTGCCTTTAAAGCCCCAAAAGCCCTCAACATGCCTCAAAAACCCTCGAAGCCCTCAAAGCCCTAAAGCCCTAGAAGCCCCAAAAGCCAGAAGCCGACCTCTGCACCCCAAACCCAAAACCCAAAACCCTGAACCCTGAACCCTGGACCCTTAGCCCTAAACCCTAAAACCCTAGACCCCAAACCCTAAACCCTAAACTCCCTAAACCCTAAAACCCAGCAGGCGCAGCACGAGCTCCAAGGACTTGCGCAGAAGGCGCTGCTCCCGCGGCTGGAGACTGCAGAGGCCCCGCCACAAGTTCCCCTTTCATGCTTGTGAGGGATTCGGGTTCCCAAAGAGCCCAATATTGCTTAATTAAGCAATATACCTTAAATCATATAGGGGTCCTGAATATGATTTAAGGAATATTCCTTAATTAAGCAATATTGGGCTCTTTGGGTTAGGGTTTAGGGCTTAGGGTTCAGGGTGATTTTTGGGATTTGGGTTTGGGGTTTTGGATTTAGGACTTTAGGCTTGGGTTTGCAGTTTGGGGTTCAGGGGTTGTGCAAGGGAATGTTCCTACGCATCTCTGGTAAGATACTTGCTCTTTTTGCCTTCTGCACTTGGTTCTGCAAGTGACCTGGAACGTGGGGCTTAGGGGCCACGCGGCCAGAAAACACACCTCACCCAGCTGGTCCAACCGGGCGGTGGTTCGGCAAGCATCCTAGGCGGTTTTGCGGGCCCTTCCCTTGTTTTTTTCTTGGGTGGGTTACCGTTTGAAGGGGTTTTGGGGTTAACGGTTTTAGGTTCACTTTCTTTTTTGTTGGGGGGGGGGGAGGGGGTTGGGTCTAGGACCGTAAAGCACCCTGAAGGTTCAGGGTCTCAAGCCACGGCCCATGACCTTAAGTACGCCCGAAGCCCCATGCCCCCCAAATTCCCCCCCCCCCCCCCCAAGTATGCTGAACCCCAAATCCTCATTAAACCCTAAACCCTAAACCCTAAACCCTCCAGGCCAGCCTTGTGCGCTTAGAGCGAGCAGACGGTGTGCAGCTCAGTCACCCGGATTCCTTCCTTTCGGGCCGTCTCGAAGGGTTTAGGGTTTTGGGTTTAGGGTTTAGGGTGTCTTAAACCCTTACACTTCGGGTTTGGGCAAGTTCTAAGCCTCCTTTTTTCTCACTTTTCCACTACTGCTCACATTGCTACATGCTCCTCATCCCTGTTTTGCGCTTTGGCTCCCTCCTAAAACTCCGCTAAACCGTTTGTTCAAAGGCTTCCCAAACCCCTTCCTAAGAATGACCCAATAGTAGTTTAGGGCATTATTTGCGGGGGTTCTACTTTTTGGATCCTTCCCGGGGTCTGGGTTGCTGGGCGACCTCAAACCCTAAACCCTAAACCCTAAACCCCAAACCCCAAAGCCTAAACCCTAAACCCCAAACCCTAAAACCCTAAACCCTGAACCCCCAGACCCTCAACCCGCAGCGCCTTGCAGGTACCAACCGGGAGCAGGTCATCAAGCTGGAGTCGAAAGCCGAGGTCCCCGTTTTCTGGGCGAAGGGCCTGCTTGACTAGAACTGTACTTATAGGGTTTAGGGTTAAGGGTTAAGGGTTTAGGGTTTAGGGTTTGGGGCCTGCCTGGAGGTTCTGGGTACTTAATTAACCAATTACAACCGTTGCAAAGAGAAGGGGGCTTAGGGGTCTGCTTTGTTGCAGCACTCCTCAGGATGGCATCTAAGCAGTGAGGGATTAGGGTTTGGGGTTGAGGGTTTAGGGTTTAGGGTTTCAGGGTTTAGGGTTTAGGGTTTCGGGTTTAGGGTGGTGGTGATGCAAAGGAATCCTGCAACTCCCTGAGCACTTTCGCAGCAACCAACGGGGCAATCCCGAGAACCAGCGCCTCGCGTGGCCAGCGCCGCAAGAACTCCAGCAGCCATCGACAAAAGCAACGATGGCGCAGGAAGCACCCTTTAGGGTTTAGGGTTTAGGGTTTGGGGTTTAGGGTTTAGGGTTTAGGGTTCAGGGTTTAGGGTTTAGGGTTTAGGGTTTAGGGGAACTCTGAGACTTAGACTCCTATTTCATCTAAACCCTAAGCCCGAAACCCGAAACCCTAAACTCTTAAACCTTGAGCCGTGAACCCCACGGACGTCGGCCATCGTCCCCCTGGAACCTTAGCCAAAAAGCCCCCAAACGGCCATTCCTACTTGGAGGTTCATGGTACTTAAAAACCCAATAATATCTGTACTTGTACCCCGATTCTCTCCATATTAGGGCACTCAATAAGGGGCCTAAAAAGTGGGTTAGAGGTGCAGTTGTAATTGGTTATGAAGTGCCATGAACCTCCAAGTAGAGCCCCAAACCCTAATGCCCTCAACCCTCACGTCGATGGCCTTCGCCCCAAATCCCTAAACCCTTGAACCCAAACCCTAAACCTAAAACCCTAAAACCCCTAAAACCCCTAACGCCCCCCTAAAACCCCCCTAAAACCCCTAAAACCCCCAAAGCCCCTTAAAACCTTAAAGCCCCTAAAACCCCTAAAAGCCCTAAAACCCCTCAAAGCCCCTTACTGCAAAGCCCTTAAACCCCTAAAACCCCTACAGGCCCCTAGAACCCCTAAAGCCCCTAAAGCCCCTTAAACCCTTAATTCCTAAACCGTGGGAGGAGCTCAAAGGCGCCTTGGATCAGCGCTTTCGCGATCTCTCTCAGCAGGTCGCGCGGCTAGGGGATTTGGAGTTTAGTGCTTTTGCGTTTCGGGTTGGTAGGGCTCTTTCATGGCTTTATACACATATGTGTATATATATAAGGGGTTAGTTCAAGTTCAGGTTTAGGGTTGTTTCGGGTTCATGGTTTGCAGGTCTTGTGGTTCATGGAGCGTGCGGGGTTGTTTCTTGGACTTATTTGGGCCACTTTGGGGTGTTTATGAAGGTTGTGAGGGTCTGTAGGGACCGTCTGCGGTTCAGTGTTTTGAGGGTTTTGGGGGGTTAAGGTTCGTTGCAAAACGGCCAAAGGGTGTTTCACTTTTGCCTCAGCGAGTTTGTGGACAGCTACACCCTAAACCCTGAACCCGAAAACCCCAAGACCCCAAAGCCCTAATCCCCAAGACCCTAAAGATCCAGAAGAAGTCACAATAAACATCAAGTTTTCACTAGCCTCTAACCCTAAAGCCTGAAACCCCAATCCCTAAAACCCCAAGAGCCCTCTAAACCCTAAACCCTAAACCCTAAACCCTAAACCCTAAACCCTAACCCCTAAACCCTAAACCCTAAACCCTAAACCCTAAACCCTAAACCCTAAACCCTAAACCCCAAGAACCCTCAAGGCCCTGAAGCCCTTGCAGGGAGGTCACTTCAAGGAGCAGTTGGACTTTCTCATGCAGGTGCCCCCGCCTTGTACTTGCTCCAGAGCCTTTTCTGGTTGTTTTGGATTTTGGGTTTAGGGTTTAGGGTTTAGGGTTTAGGGTTTAGGGTTTAGGGTTTAGGGTTTAGGGTTTAGGGTTTTGTTTAGGGTTTAGGGTATCGGGTTCAGGGTTCAGGGTTCAGGGTTGAGGGTTTCGGGTTTAGGGTTCACGGGTTTGGGCTTTAGGGTTCACGGGATAGGGTGTAGGGGTCCAGGGCTTAGGGTGCGCATCCGCGACCGCACCACTCGAGACGCCGTTGCAGACGCTCCAGAGAATCATGGCACGCGACGTTGAATCCTGAACCCTGATCCCCCAAAAGCCCTACAACACAAAGCCCTGAGCCCCAAATCCCCAAGCCCTAAGACCCAAAACCCGGAACATCTAACCCCCAAGCCAGAAACCCTAAGCCCGAAACCCTAAACCCTAAAAACCCCTAAACCCCCAAAACCCCTAAAACCCCCAGAACCCCAAAACCCCTGAAGCCCCTAAAACCTGTAAACCCCAACCCCTAAAACCCCTAAAACCCCTAAAGCCCCTAAAACCCCTAAAACCCCTAAAGCCCCTAAAAACCCCTAAACCCCTTAAAACCAGAAAACCCTTGAACCCTGAAACCCCAAAACCCTAATTTTTTTCCATTTGCAATTTCAAACTCTGAAGCCCTTCAACCCCCAGAAGCCCTGAACACTTTTGACCCCTAAACCCTAAACACTAAAACCCCTGAAGCCCCCAAAAACCTCAAAAACCCCAAATATCCCTAAAAACTCTAAAAACCCTAAAAACCCTAAAAACCCTAAAAACCCTAAAAACCCTAAAAACCCTAAAAACCCTAAAACCCTCAAACCCCAAACCGTTAATTTTTCAATGTGCAGGCGACTGACATGTTGAAGCGCCGACTGAGGGAGGTGGCCAAGACTCAGACCGTCACTCAGCGGCAATCTGAGAGGTTGAGCCCAAGCTAAACCCTGAACCCTAAACCCTAAACCCTAAACCCTAAACCCTAAACCCTAAACCCGATTTTGGAGGTCCTCACAGAGAAATCATGCTGCGTATATTGGGGCGTGGGAAGGGTGCCCGTATTTTGGAGCCTTCACGCCGGGCAGTTGCTAAGGAACTCAAATTATGTTACCACCACATGAAAAGAAGTATGTAGATAACATGTATACATATATATGTATATAGATATGTATTTCTCAATATGCGTAAACAGCCCTTGTTTTCCTCATGACCGTAGCTGAGACTTTGCGTAAGTTCCTAGACAGCAAGAAAGCTAAGGGCCCTTGTCCAGGTCCCTTTTTCCAGTATACAATACCAAGGCTGTAAACCGAGGATCAACGCGCAAGCCCTAAACCCTAGACCCTAGACCCTAAACCCTGAACCCTGAACCCTGAACCGCAAGGCATGGGCCTTGGGGGGAACCACGGCTCCCCCATCTCCTCCTTATTTTATTTTTTATTTTTTTTTTTTTTTGGGGGGGGGGGGGGGTTAGGGTTTAGGGTTTAGGGTTGGGTGGGGTATCCTGGTAAAGCAGTGCCAGTCTGAGGGCTGAGGGTTTAGGGTTTAGGGTTTAGGGGTTAGGGTTACCCCACATCTTAAGCCCCGAACCCCTGAAACCCTAACTAAAGCCTGTAAACCCCAAACCTCTATAAACCGTGAACCGTGAAATGTTGAACCCTAAGCCCTAAGCCCTAAGCCCTAAGCCCTAAGCCCTAAGCCCTAAGCCCTAAGCCCTAAGCCCTAAGCCCTAAGCCCTAAGCCCTAGCCCTAAGCCTAAGCCCTAAGCCCTAAGCCCCTAAGCCCTAAGCCCTAAGCCCTAAAGCCCTAAAGCCCTAAGCCAGCCCTAAGTAAGCCAGCCTAAGCCCCCTAAGCCCTAAGCCCTAAGCCTAGCCCTAAGCCCTAAGCCTAAGCCCTAAGCCCAAACCCCAAACCCCAAACCCCAAACCCCAAACCCCAACCCCAAACCCCAAACCCCAAACCCAAACCCCAAACCCACAAACCCCAAACCCCAAACCCCAAACCCCAAAAAAACCCCCAAAACCCAAACCCCAAACCCCCCAAACCCCAAACCCCAAACCCCAACCCCAACCCCCAAACCCCAAACCCCAAACCCCAAACCCCAAACCCCAAACCCCAAACCCCAAACCCCAAACCCCAAACCCCAAACCCCAAACCCCAAACCCAAACCCCAAACCCTAAACCCTAATCCCTAAACCCTAAACCCTAAGCAGGGAAAGATGAAAGAGCTGGCGGATGACCAGGACCGTCAGACCTGCCTCGAAAAGGGCTCGGGATTTGAGCTGTGTGGTTTGGGATTTAAGGCTCTGGTTTTTGGGTTCATCGTGTGGGGCTTAGGGTTTAGGGTTTGGGGTTTAGGCTTTAAGGTTTAGGGGTGAGGGTTTAGAGTTTTGGCATCGACTGGGCCAATGTTGCCTTGAAGACGCTTGACAGACATGTAGCTGAAAAGGGCAGAGTTAGAATGACTTATCTTACTGTTGGTTAGGGAATGAGGGAATGAGGAACCCTAAATAATCCCTTAAAGGGTATATAAAGGGCGATATAGGGTACCTCATTTCCTCATTCCCTCCTAGCCAGCAGTAAGTTATCACAACGACTGCACCTGCTGCGGCTGGTGCGTTCACCTTCCGACTGCTCTAAGCGTCTGCCACTTGTTGGCTGAGGCCGCCGCCCCCCCCCCCCCCCCACTACAAATAGTCTTGGCTAAGTATTCCCTAATGGTCCCTGAAAATTATACTATAAGAACCCCCAAAACCCTATTCTAATTATTAAGGCCCCTGTAGTAGGCGGCGTTTGCTTGGGCGACTTCCCTAAACCTAAACCCTATAAACCTACACCCGGGTAGACCTTGAAACTTGAGACCCTGTAAGCCTATGAACCACCCTGAAGCCTCAACACCCTAGAATCCTAAAACCGGATACCCTATAATCCTATAAACCCCCGATTGCACACACTTTCAATCTATCGCTCCCCTCTCTAGAAGGCCTGAATGTGCTTTAGACTGAGGGACTGGGTAGGTAACCTTCATAGCTACTATTTGCTTGAAAACCCCCCCAAAAAAATTAAAATTCTTCCTTATAAGGACAATATAGGGATTGTTTTTGCATATTTTTTGGGATTCTGAAGCAAAGAGCAGATAACCTTTTTCTAAGGGTATCGACTGTCTGGAGTCTGGACCAACTAATGCCGCAGGACAAGCACGTACAGCAGCTCGCAGCTGTGGAAAGGGTGCGGGAACCTCGGCATTCCAGACGCTTACTGTTGGTTACTAGGGAATGAGGGAATGAGGTACCCTGTATCACCCCTTAAGGGGTATATATGGGGGGATATACCCTCTATCACCCCTTAAAGGGTATATGGGTACATGTGGGGGGATATAGGGTACCTCATTCCCTCATCCCCTACTGACCAACAGTAAGGACAGCCCTCAGCAAGATCCGCTAGAAGACCAAAAGCTTCCCCCAAGCCCGCGAAGTCCTAGTTAGGATTCTGTCAGTGCTCTAAACTTCCTAAGCACGAAACTTAAGCCCTACACCCTAAACCCTAGGCCCTAGGCCCTAAACCCTAAACCCTAAACCCTAAACCCTAAACCCTAAACCCTAAACCCTAAACCCTAAACCCTAAACCCTAAACCCTAAACCCTAAACCCTAAACCCTAGTTTTCTCTTTCAGAGTTGTGAGGCTCGGTCCAGCTTCTGGCTGCTAAGGCTGAAAAAGCAGGAGCGCGACGTTCGTGCCATGGAGTTCCGTTCCACAAAGGCCGCCGGGAATGTTGGCGGGGTTGTTTTTTGCCCTAAACCCTAAACCCTAAGCCCTAAGCCCTAAACCCGAAACCCTAAACCCTAAATCCTAAACCATAATCCTATAGGGTTTAGGGTTTTTAGGGTTCAGGGTTTTGGCGGAGTGGGGGAGCAAGTATGGACACCACTGCGAGGGACATTCTCCGGGGAGCACGAAGGGATTCTCACTCGGAGGATCCAGCTATTGCTACGGGGCATCATCCCCTTAAAATTTCAGGGCTTAGGGCCCCTCCCCCTGAGCAGCGCAACCCTAAACCCCAAACCTTCTCTGCCTACGAATGTTTAAACCTTAATGAAACGTTTTGGTTCAGGAACTCCCTGGCCGCAGTGCCCCTTCTGCCCAACTATTTGCTACTTGTTACTTTTATCTTACTTTTGAAATTTTTGTGCTCTCCGACTTGTTTGGACTCTCCGGGGACTCCCCCCCTGGCACCCTGCAGACCGCTGCCCCCCCCCCCCCCCCTCCCTTCTCACATGCTACGCTAGAACCGGCAGCCTTCCCCGAATCTGGGGTACCCCTCACACAAACACTAGATCAAGTCTTTATCAAGGAGGAAGTTTCTGGAAGTACGCATGTAGATAGTGCCGAGTCAAGTAAGAAAATAGATATGTAGTTCGAGTTGAAAGGAATTCTGTGAGTGTGGGGTGATGCCAATTGCATAGTGATGTAAAGGGGCCCTGCGAACAACGTAAACCCTAAAATCTTAACCCTAAGGCCTAAGGCCTAAGGCCTCAGGCCTCAGGCCTCAGGCCTCAGGGCTCAGGGCTCAGGGCTCAGGGCTAAGCCCTAAGGGCTAAGCCCTGAGCCCTCAGCCCTATGCCCTATTAGCCCTGAGCCATATGTGCCAAACCCTCGACCCCGAATCGCCCCAGCCCTAGCCGAGCAGGGGGACACCGCCGACTCCTGGCGCTGCGCCTTGCCCATGCTCGCCACGCCTCAATCTCAGTTTAGGGTTTAGGGTTTAGGGTTTAGGGTTTAGGGTTTAGGGTTTAGGGTTGGGGGTGTAGGGTTTAGGGGCTAGGGGGGGTTTAGGGGTTGAGGTTTGAGGGTTTAGGGGAGCTTTGGGGTCTACTGGTCTAGGCTTTAGGCTTTAGGGTTTTGGGGCCTCGCAGATACGACGTTTGTTTGTCGTTCTTCTTCAGCGCAGCGCCACATTTCGACATGTTGAGTTTCGTCCCAATTTCTGTTTATGGCAGATGTTTTCGGACTGACAGACTCTTTTAATTTTGTGGCGACCTGGAGAGTTTATGAGACAACCGCAAACCCAAAGCCTAAGCCCAAAATCTAGAACGCTTATCCCAAAACCTTGAACCTTTAGCCCTCCCTTGAAATCTTAACTCTTGACCCCGAACTCTGGACCCAAAACCTCAGGCCCTGAACCCCCAACTCAACTCTAAACGACCAACCAGGCCGGATGACCCGGACCCCAACGTCCGGCTGAACAGCGTGCTGGATCGAAGTGCACCATCAGTGCTAATCCTAAACCCTAAACCCTAAGCCCTAAACCGAAAACCCTAAACCCTAAACCTTAAACCCTAAACCCTAAACCCCAAACCCTAAACCCTAAACCCTAAACCCCGCAGCCCTGAAGATTCCGCAAACGCATGAGCTCCTGTGCCTTGCAGCGACATCCCGAAACCGCCCCCCTGCCACCTAAGCCCTTCGCCCCCTCACACAGTCAAGGTTTTAGGGTTTAGGGTTTAGGGTTCAGGGTTCAGGGTTTAGGGTTTAGGGTTTAGGGTCACCCTAATTAAATCCCAAAACTATACTCCCTAAACCACCTAAGTCCTCACTGACCCCAAAACCTTAAGACACTAAACCCCAGAACCTCAAAACCCTAACCCCCAAACCACCCCAAAATCCTACGTCCTATGTTGGGTTATGGGCTTACGAGTTACTACTATTTGCTGAAGAACCCCAAAATATGAAAGTATATTTCCCTATATTACCCTCTATTTCCCTTACAAGGAAGAGTTGGGTTTTATCATTTTTTTTGGTGGGTGGTTGTTCTTAAGCAATAGTCGTTTCGGTTTAACCCGCAAAGTTCGTAACTTCGAGCCCTAAACCCTAAACCCTACACCCTAAACCCTAAACCCTACACCCTAAACCCTAAACCCTAAACCCTAAACCCTAAACCCTAAACCCTAAGCGTATTTCAGATGCTCGGTTGCAGGACCAGCTGGAGAAGATGGCGTGCAGGTCTGAGGAGAGTACGCACATTGCAGGGGCCCGAGGCTTTCTAGGCTTAGGGTTTAGGGTTTAGGGTTTAGGGTTTAGGGTTAAGGGTTAAGGGTTAAGGGTGGTTTCTTGTAAGGAACCAAGGGGGCGGAAGGGAGAGTGAAAGGGACCCATATGCCCTTGTTAGGGCTTATTTGGGATTATTCAGCTTGGGATGTTCCCCTTATACTAGCCTGCTATCATCCCTAGTAAGGACTGCTAGTACGAGGAGGAACATCCCAATATTCAGCGCTTACTTGGGGAAGATGGGGCGCTTTATGCCCCCCTCCCCTCCCTTCCACCCGCATGGTTACTCATGAGTTTAGGGTTTCGGATGTGTTTGGCCTCGGCTCGAGGGTTTTTCTTTCCGTTTCTCAATCGGGCAGTTCCGACGACATACACTAGGACCCGGAGTAGGCCTTCACTCTATCATCCCTACTAAGGACTGCTAGGAAAAAGGGGGAACCCGGAGGTTTGGTGGTCGGGTCCAAAGGTTTCAGGTTTCCCTAAACCCTAAACCCTACACCCTAAGCCCTAAACCCTAAACCTCAAATCGTAAACCCTGAACCCTACACCCTAAACCGAACATCTTCAACCTTACAAATTGTGGGCCTTCTGAACCCTAGATCTTCTGAACCCTCTAGAATCTTCGCTGACGCCAAGCCCTAAACCCCAAACCCTAGACCGCAAACCCCAAACCCTAGACCCCAAACTCCAAACCCTGGACCCCAAACCCTAAACCCCAAACCCTAAACCCTAAACCTCAAACCCTAAACCCCAAACCTCAAGCTCCAAACCCTGCACGCTTGGTGGCTGAGGCGCCATGGAATCCCAACCGACCGCCCCTTCCGGCCACAGCCTCAACAGATAATATACGGTCGGAATGGTTTAGGGTTCAGGGTTCAGGGTTCAGGGTTTAGGGTTTAGGGTTTAGGGTTTAGGGTTTGGGTCGGAACTTACTTCGCCTTTAGTTGAACTTTAAACGTTTTAGACTTCCTTATTTAGTAGGAATATTAAAGTTTAACTTTTTTTCCCTTGGTTATTGGAGAAGTAAGTAAGTACTAGTAGTATTCCGGGCCCCAAAACCCTATTCGAATTAGTAAGGCCCCCACAGACAGTCACAATTCCAAGAGGGTTTTGGGCTTTTGGGCTTCTGGGTTATTCTTGGCGAAGCCCAGAACCCTAAAGGTAAAGTAGAGGGTGCCGAAAAGGGCCTGTGCTTCTGATAGAGCGCCGAAAGCACAAAGTCCAAGGCCGCAAACCCCCAACACTTGAGCCCTGAAACCGGTTTAGGCGTGCCAAGGGCCTGGGTTGAGGGCTTGGGTTTTGGGCTTATGCAAGGATTGGGGTTATGTAGACCCTACACCCTAAACCCTAAACCCTTAACCCTAAACCGAAGCCCTCGCAACCCTGCAGTACAATCTGCTTTGCTAACGCTGGCCATCCCAGCTTAGAGGGCTAGTTTTTTTGCATCAGGGTCCCTTTGGTTAAGGTTTTTTGGGTTTAGGGTTTCAGGTTTAGGGTTTAGGGTCCACGTGCGAGATTAGAAATAGGACCCCAAAAAGCCCGAATTTAGAGAAACACCAACAGGTTTTCGATGTCCTGCTGAAAGGTCAGCGCAGACACGACTGGAGAGTGGGAGCGGCTCTCTCACGCCAACATGGGAGGCTGGGCGCAACGTTTGCAGCTGACCCTTGACCCCGGTCTCCCCCACCCTAAACTTAAACCCTAAGCCCTAAACCCTAAACCCTTAGCCCTAAATCCTAAACCCGAAACAAACCCTAAACTGGCCCTAAACCCTAAATCCTAAACCCTAAACCCTAAACCCTAAACCCTAAACCCTAACCCCTAAGCCCTAAGCCCTAAGCCCTAAGCCCTAAGCCCTAAGCCCTAAGCCCTAAACCCTTCTGCAGGGGCGCCCGACGCCGAGTCTGCTCGAGCCGGACATATGGCTGTGACGAGCGGCGTTCGAGGAATGCAACTCAACCTGGTGCTTGGAGGTTTAGGGTTTAGGGTTTAGGGTTTAGGGTTTTAGGGTTTAGGGTTTAGGGCTTAGGGTTGTACTTGGAGGTTCAGGGTATTAGTCAGTTATAACTTATAACCGTACTTAAAACCCACTTATAAGCCCCTTAAGTGCCCTAATACGGTTATACTTGGGTTAGAAGTACAGTGGTTATTGGGTCAATAAGTACCCTGAACCTCCAAGAGGCCCAGTGGTACCCTTTTGCCCTTTTGCATGTAGGGTTTGGGGTTTAGGGTTTACGGTTTAGGGTGCTATTGGTTCAAGGTTCCCTTGCAAAGCAACCAACCCTATGAACAGGTACCCTTGTTATAAGATGGTTACTAGGGTTTAGGGTTTAGGGTTTAGGGTCTACGAAGTCAACTGGAGCTAAACATTTCAGGGTTTGGTCTATCCGTGGAGTTTAGGATGGGAAATCCTGATCCGGACATAGATCCCAAACCTCCGCCTGTATTTTATTGCTTCCTGCCCCTCAGCGCCTGACACTTAAACCCTAAACTCTACACCGCTTGAGGTATGGGCTGAGCCCCCGAACTCCGGCCAACACGGGCAAAATGAGCAAGAAGGCAAAGCGCACGTTCTAGGTGGACGTGGGAGTTTAGTTAGGTGGCGTGGCAATCTCGAATCTGGGAGAGCGCCACAGCTTCAATGCCTCAATTCGTGGTAGGTCTGTACAAAGCCCTCAACTCTATGTCCAAACCCCCAAGCCTTTGCAAGGCCCTGGGTTCCGAACTACCGGAGCCTATGGCAAAGTCTCACCACACGAAGGTTTAAGTGGGGGCTCATGGTGAATAGGGTTTAGGCTTTAGTCCTTTTGGGGGCCTCCATCCTTTTCGTCAGAGGGTACCCCTAGCAGATCAACCCCCGCTCCAATTTGAAGGGTTGAATTGGTTGGGTTGGTAATTTAAGACCCCCCCCACCCCATCCCCACCCCCGCCGCCAAAGCCCCAAACCCAAAAGCGTTAAACTCTCAACCCTAATCATTCCCTCCGTTCAGCCCAAAAATCTGAAATCCACAAAGGCCTAATCCCTAGACTCCAGACCTGCAGACCCTAAAGTCCCAGGAGTAAATCCCTAAACCCCTGAAAGCCCGGTCTTGTTTTCCACACATGGTTTCACTGGACGAACGCCGGGCATGTGTGGCTTTCAGTCAAGCAGGGTTTAGGGTGCAGGAAGGGCTTGGGGTCTTAGGGTTCTTAGGGTTTTGAGGGTTTTGAGGGTTTTGAGGGTTTTGAGGGTTTTGAGGGTTTTGAGGATGTCGGGCTCAGGGATTTCTAGTGTTTCGGGTTTAGAGTTTCGGATTTTGGAGACTCGGGTGCGTCACATGTTCCACGCCACCACGCGGGGCGCCACGCGGGATGTGTGTTGCGGCGCGTGGCCAGGTTCATGATTCCCTCCCAACCCGCCCACCCTATCGACCTTGGTCGAGTTTAGAGTCTAGAGTCATGATGATTGTTCCTTGGCATTTGAGGCCTTGAAACCTGGTTTCGAACCTGTGCCTTGACCTTAAAAAACTTTTCTCGCGAGACTGGGTTTTGGAGTACCATACTTGAATACGGCTCTGGGTTCCTATTAGAGCTACTTATGGCCAAAAAGTATATATTTTTGTCCAGTCTACTCCGAAGTAGGGGAGAGGCATGCGCTACTTTCGGGGGGGGCCTCCCCCCCTCAACGCGAGCACCCGGAGCTGGTCCTGGGGCTCCTTGGTTGCGCCAGGGTTTAGGGTTGAGGGTTTAAGGTTTAGGGTTTAGGGTTTAGGGTTTAGGGTTTAAGGTTTAGGGCTCAGCCTCGCTCACGCCTCGGCGCTAAGAGTAGGCACAGGATGCCCGGAACTTCGGAACTCCGAAACCCTGAGCCTGGCTTGTGCCTCTTTACGGGCCCTTCAAAACCCTAAACTTCCTAAACCCTAAACCCTAAACCCTAAGCCCTAAACCCTAAACCCTAAACCCTAAACCCTAAACCCTAAACCCTAAACCCTAAACCCTAAACCCTAAACCCTTCTCGGGGGGGGGGGGGGGGCGGGGGGTGTTATCCTCCGTAAACCTGCGAGTTTCCTGGATGCCGCTGCAGCCGTTTGCCAACCAGCCGGGCCCTGCCACGACACGGCTTACGATGCAGGACAGTAGACTTCCGAACCCTAAACCCCTAAACCCTAAACCCTAAACCCTCAACCCTCAACCCTAAACCCTAAACCCTAAACCCTACGCCCTAAACCCTAAACCCTAAACCCTAAACCCTAAACCCTAAACCCTAAACCCTAAACCCTAAACCCTAAACCCTAAACCCTAAACCCTAAACCCTAAACCCTAAACCCTAAACGCTTGCGTTGAAGGTCGAAGGCCTAGGGTGTAAGACTATTTTCTCGGAGTAGTAACCAAATTAGTGGCAGTGCCTTACACTTGCACTTCCTTCTTGATCCTTCCTTTCAGTGCCTTGTAAACACAGACGGCGCCCTTTCTTTTTTCGTATAGGTCCTACGTAGGTCCTAGGGGAACTGACGGGTTCAGGAGCCCTAGGCCTAAACCCTACCTGGGAATCCCTTGTGCCATAAATTCGCGTCCGCTTCGAGTGGCTGGAAAAATATGTCCTCGCGAAATTTCTGTCCGCTTGGAGGGGCTGCAAAAAGACCGTTTCCGGCCCTGAACAAAACACAATCAAAACAAGTGAAGCCGAAACATGGACCAGTTAGGTACTCAGGCTTGAGAAGGCTGACAGAGCTTGGTTTCAGGGCGCGGTCGTGCCTTGTAGAGGTCTGGATTACACGGTCAGGCTCATTATACGAGGATGAAAAAAGCGCACGCTTATTGACATTTTATTTGGATTGGGGTTTGGTTTTCTTTGGTTTTTTGTCGACAACATGTCGATAAAGTATGGTTTTCCTACGGGTTACGGTTTTCCTACGGTTTCCTGCGGCTGACCAAAATCCCGAAAATGTCGACTTTTTATTGGGATAACGGAACGGATGTGTAGTCTTTTGCGGAAGACCCATTTCCTGCAGGTCCTTGGATCACAAAGAGTCGCGTAAGTGCTTGCAGAGCAATCCCTTTCAATCTTTTGGGCTTCAGAGAGAGAAGTAGCCGCGCAAGCCTCGAACTCGCATATGGAGCGCGCGCACCAACGAGTTCCCTTACACAGGCAATAGGATACTTGCTTGACTATTATTCGGCTAAACCTAAAATATGGCCATTAAAAAACCGAAATGCGGCCTTTCTACGGTAAAATCCAGATTTTGCCACAAGCACACTAATTTCCGGCCGCTAGGATCTTCAGGTAAACTTTAAAGCCCTAAAGCCCTAAAGCCCTGAAGCCCTGAAGCCCTAAAGATCTAAACCCTCGAGCCCTAAAGCCCTAAACCCTAAAGCCCGAAACCCTAAAGCCCTAAAACCCTAAAGCCTAAGCCCTAAAGCCCTAAGTACTAAGCCCTAAGCCCCAAGCCCTAAGCCCTAAGCCCTAAACCCTAAACCCTAAACCCTAAACCCTAAACCCTAAACCCTAAACCCTAAACCCTAAACTGACCGGGTTCAGGGGTCACCACTCCAGGACGATGGTCATTATGTCAATCTTCAGCAGGCCGCCGGTCGAAGCTCATGGCCAGTGGATCGTGAGACCGAGTTTAGGGTTTCGGGTTTCGGGTTTGGGGTTTAGGGTTTCAGGTGGGTTTGGGGTTTAGGGGTTAGGGTTTAGGGTTTAAGGTTTAAGGTTTAGGGTTTAGGGTTCCCTGAACGCGAAGCTACTTGCACGGCTGTGTCGGCCTTGGCAGGCCTGCGACTACCTCGCGGCTCATCTGTGTGGAGCCAGAGCGAGAGTGAGCGTGCAAGAGAGACAGAGAGAGAAAAGTCAACCAGCGAATGGGTGAGCAAGAGCATTTTTCTAGAGAGAGATAGAGAGACAACCCTAAACCCTAAACCCCTAAACCCTAAACCCTAGACCCATCAAGGTCAAGGCTGTTTTTTTCCCAATAGGCAGTGCTTCTCATAGAACGCGTGCCAGCGCAGCTGAGGAGAAGAACTCCATCCCCAAGCTGCTCCAGCCCGATCCCCAGTTGTCTCCGGAACTCCCCCTCCTATCCGAAGTAGCCTTAGCAAGCTAGGGTTTAGGGTTTAGGGTTTAGGGTTTAGGGTTTAGGGTTTAGGGTTTAGGGTTTAGGGTTTAGGGTTGTATACATGGTATACCTGTAAGACACGCTTTTTGGGGTGCGTTAGGGGGCAATCGAGACCATGTCCGAATCCCTGAAACCTAAGGCCCAAGCCCGAGCCCGAAACCCGGCATACTCGTAACTCTTATTCGGCTTTTTTTATCTCATCATCTCTGCTGTTGTTTAGCAGCTCCGAATGCAACGTGAGCCTGCCTTAGGGTGTAGGGTTTGGGGTTTAGGGTTTATGGTTCCCTGAACTCTAAACCCCAAACCCTAAACCCCGAACCCTAGACCCTCAACCCCAAACCCTGAACCCTAGACCCTCAACCCCTAAACCCTAAACCCCAAACCCCAAACCCCAAACCCTAAACCCCAAACCCCAAGCCCCAAGCTCCAAACCCTGAACCGGGGGTTTTACATGGCTGAGCTTCGGGCTCCCCCCAAACCCTGTAAAGGTCGAGTTGGCTAGTGTTTAGGAGCTTAGGAGCTGCGGTTTAGGGTTTAGGGTTTGGGGTTTGGGGTTTAGTGTTTAGGGTTTGGCGTGAAACCCTAAAAACTCCGCAGCCCTCAACCCTAAGCCCACCCCCACGAGGGGGTTTCCTCTCAGGAGCCTCCTAGCGCGCGCCGCCCTGGAGCGACCAGCGGACCGGCAGTGGGTCTTGTGGGATGGTGGCTAGTGTTTACGGCTGAGCTCCATGATTCCTACTTGGAGGTTCATGGTACTTATTAACCCAATCATAAGTGTACTTACACCCCCGATTGCAGTCATATTCGGGAACTTAAGGGCTTAGAAGTGGGTGAGAAGTGCAGTTTAAACTAAGTCATAAGTACCATGAACCTCCAAGTGTCCCCCCTTATACCCCCTCATACCCCCTTTTACTCCCCTTATACTCCCCCAAACCCTAAACCCTAAACCCTAGACCCTAAACCCTAAACCCAAACCCCCCTTATGCCCTAAACCCATGGGTACATCTGGCAGGATCTGCGGAGCTTCCTCATCGAGTCCCTTCGGGATCTGAAGGTGCCCTCTGACTGGTTCTACAATCCCGTTGGTTTAGGGTTTAGGGTTTAGGGTTTAGGGTTTAGGGTTTAGGGTTTAGGCCTATTATTCTTAAGCCAAGAGGGGCGCGCCAGGCGCAGAGAGCCTCGCCGTCGATGGAGCTCTTCACGGCGGAGGCGCCTAATTCCCTGAGTAGGGTTTGGGGTTTAGGGTTTACAGGGTTTAGGGTTTAGGGTTTAGGGTTTGGGGTTTAGGGTTTAGGGTTTAGGGTTTAGGGTTTAGGGTTTAGGGTTTAGGGTGTAGGGTTAGGATGTCAGGATAGTTTATTGGGAACCCCAAGACTCTGAGTTCCGAATTCCTCCCCATACCCTATATTTCGGGTTCAGGGTTTAGGGTTTAGGGTTTAGGGTTTAGGGTCCCTAGAACCTATACCCTGCAGGACATAGAGA